CCATCCTCCTCTGAAAACCGGTAGATGCTTACAGCTGGGAGGGGCCAAGTGACCACCCGTCGGGAAGACTGGCAGACTAGGCCCACCTCTGCCATTGCACAGCTGTGCGGCCCCCTCCAATGCTGACATGGCACCCGCACCTGTGGTCTTCCTCCCTCCCTCTTTGCCCTACCTGGTGGGTGTTTGAAAATTCAGCTGTGATTCACACTGTGGATATAAGTCATTATTTTAAAACAACAAAGAAAAGCCTCTTAGGCGGGCTTTCTGCTAAGTTTTGCTGCATAAACAGAAAAGCAATCATTTGCTCATTCTTTAGATGGCGGAAAGGAAGACTTCTTCTTATCTCTCCATGATGTCAAGGAGGTCACCCCACACGGTGATGGGTCTGCCTGGCCTTGCTCTCCCAGCCACCCATGCCAGGGAGACGGGGCATCCCCGAGGGGACACCCCACCAACTTGGCCTCCTAGAAGGACCAACAGGTATGTGGCCCTGGGATGAACCTTCCTGAGTAAATGTAAAACAAGTTGAAAAAGAAAAGAAGGAAAGGGTTTGGGATGGAAAAGGGCCAAGAAGGGAGAAAAGGACCAGGGAGCTGCCACGCGTCCCATGTGGACGTGAGGCTGGCCTGAGGCCAGAAGCTCTGGCAGACGTTGGGCTGAGTGAGCAGGAAATGGGTGGTGAGAACCTGTCATCCCGTCCCCTCGCATACGTGTCCCAGACAGAGAGCGAGGGGGAAGCCAGGAAGGCAGATGAGGCCTGGGGGCTGCGGCCCTTCCTGTGCTTAAACTCAGGGCTTGTACCCCACCAGTCAGAATTAGAGAAAACTGAGGGGTGGTGTTCAGATGACAATGGCAATGATAGCCACCGTTTTCTGGAATGTGGATTCCTTCCGAGGCAATGGACAACATGTTTGACAACCGTCACCTCATTTAATCTTGACCATGAGTCTACAATTGTCATGACTCTCTTCGTCTAACAGGAGAATAAACTGAGTTCATTTGCCCAACCTAGTAACTAGCTAAAAAACAGTCCTGAGCTTCATCTAATGCCAAAGCCATGCTCGCCCTCTGGCATCCTCAGAGGGAGGCAGAGGTGACCAGGACCTTCTAGCCAGCAGATGAGAAGGGGGAGGTAGAGATGCTGGAGAACAGCCTGGAGGGAAAGGGGTGATGCAGCCCCACAAAGCAGATTTGGGGCAAGTAGACGGAGGGTACAAGAAAATAGATGTCAGCTCAGCACAAGGAGACACTCTGACCTATAGAGACAGCCCAAAACAGCCCCAGGCAGCACAGGCCGCAATGGAGGCCATCAGCCCCAAACCCTGGAGGCGGTGAGGCTGATATTGACAACCACCTGGCAAGAACTTTGGGGCGGAGATTCTACCTCGAATTCAGTTGTCTGTAAGCCAGCGGTTCTCAACCTGTGGGTCGCGACCCTTTCACAGGGGTCTCCTAAGACCATCGGAAAACACATATATAATTACATATTGTTTTTGTGATTAATCACTATGCTTTAATTATGTTCAATTTGTAACAATGAAATTGGGGGTCACCACAACATGAGGAACTGTATTAAAGGGTCGCGGCATTAGGAAGGTTGAGAACCACTGCAAGCCCTTCAGCCTTCATAGAGTGACCCATATGACCCTCCCCCAACCCTCTGCATGCATAGCAGAGAATATTGGTCCTACAGAGACCATGAGGATGCTCAGAGAGGTGGAGCAACTAGCCCAAGGTCACACAGTGGAGCAGAGCTGTGACTGGGACCCAGGTCTTCCTCCAAACCATTTTGGGTGTGGGTTGGAGTTTAATCAAGCTCACCTGAAACACTGGCCTCTGTTCTCACCTTTGTCATCCATGAGGCCGCCCCAGAATCAGGGCGGATCAGGATGTCTCCCTCATTCCCCTCTCTCAACTCGATAGTGGCCTCTTCACTGCCATGATTGTGGCTTGGCTTCAGGGCTGCATCCTCTCCCCCTGCACTGCCCTGGGTCATCCCAGCAGCCTCCCGACTGGGCACCTTAACAGTGCCCCCATCCTCCTCTGAAAACCGGTAGTGCTCAACTGTGGAATCACCTGGGGAGCTTTAAAATATATTAATACTCCTCCAAAGTTACACATGAAGCAACAGTACTCAGCACAGCATGGTGCTGGCATGAGTATCTACACATTGACCAATGGAATGGAATTGCAAATCCACAAACACACCTATATCTACGGCCAACTGATTTTCAATGAGGGGGCCAAGACTATTCAATGGAGGAAAGAATAGCCCCTTCTACACATGGTGCTGGGACAACCTCCTCTGAAAACCGGTAGTGCTCAACTGTGGAATCAGCTGGGGAGCTTTAAAATATGCTAACACTCCTCCAAAGTTACACATGAAGCAATAGTACTCAGCACAGCATGGTGCTGGCATGAGGATCTACACATAGACCGATGGAATGGAATTGCAGATCCACAAACACACCTACACATCTATGGCCAACTGATTTTCAACAAGGGGGCCAAGACTATTCAATGGGGGAAAGAATAGCCCCTTCCACACATGGTGCTGGGACATCTGGATAACCACATGCAAAAGTATGAAGTTGGACCCCTATCTCACACCATATACTACAAAAGTTAACTCGAAATTAATCAGGGGCCGAAATATAAGATCCCACTCTCAGATCTCAGCAGGAGGAAGGTCCCGATGCCTCCTAGAAACTGCCTTGGCTCGCTAGCTCGGCCCGTTGCAGAGGTCTGGCTGGGAGATAAAGACACTAGGGACTTCCCTTTTTGCAAAGTCCATGCAAAGCCAAGTAGAGAACATGGGAAGAGTGCTACCATGGGCACCCTGGGGTGTCACTGTGGGCATGCAGGATGCTCTATGGACACAGGGGCACTACCATGAGTGCTATGGGGTGATGCTGAGTCCTGTGGGTGCTTCCTGGCCTCTATGCGTCCTGTGGGGAGCCACAGTGCAGGTGCTGTCATTGCCACCATGGGAAGCCACTGTGGTGCTGTGGGGTGCAGCTATGTGCACACACAGGATGCTCCATAGGGGCGCAGGGGTGCCACATGGCCACTGTGGGTGCTGTGGGGTGATATAGCAAGCACGCTACCCTTGGGGCAAGAGCTCTGTGTTTGGGTCCTAATAAACTTGCTGCTTTTTAGAGGTGAAAACTAGAGTAATTTACTTCTAGGGACCCCAGTTGTCCTCACCTATAAAAATTGTATTAATACCTGCTTCTTGGGTTGTGGGGAGGATCAGCTATTATCTACAGAAAGGGCCCAGGGAAGATCATCAGGGCCAAGTGTAAACCACGGGATAAAGGCTCGGGAAGAACAGTTCATACCCGAGGTGGCCCCCAGCTCTCAGAACGGAGAGCTGACACAACCCAGTCCCATACTCAGACCTTTTTTAGACCAGGCACGGAAAGAGGTATGTGTCTCCAGGGTAACCCCACTGTTTGGTCATAACACCCAGCTCTCACATCTCAAGAGCCTGCGCCTCTTCAAAGAGGTCACCTTGGGAGGCCACATTACTCCAGGGGACTGCCATCGCTCAAAGCAAACAGGTATGTCGTGCTGGCAGTTTCCTCGCCCTCACAACCACCCAGTGGTTTGCCAAAAACTGAGGCTCTGGGAGATCAAATCGCTCGCCTGAAGTCAAACAGCTACTGAGAAGGCGGAGCTGGGACTCGGCCTCCATCAGTCTGACTCCCAAACCCCAGCAAACATTTCCCACAACAGCACATGCCTGTCTGCCTGTGGCCATATGGTCCTCTTTGTCTTTTTCCTGTGACTCTAACATTGATCTGTTTCCTGGCTAACAACAGGGGTAAGGCCAAATCATTCCGCTCCCTGCACAGCTTCCCTGAAGATAACCCAGGAACAATAACACGCTTGCTTCTTTTTCATGTACTTAAAGAAATTCTTGGCTAGCATGGCTCAGTGGTTGAGCGTCGACCTATGAACCAGGAGGTCACGGTTCGATTTCCTGTCAGGGTACATGCCTGGGTTTCGGACTCCATACTCAGTGTGGGGCATCATTGATGATTCTATCTCTTTCTCGCTCTCCCTTCCTTTCTGAAATCAGTAAAAGTATACTTTAAAAAAGGAGATTCTTTCCCTTCGTTCACCCAGGCCCTCAGCTTCCTCTGATTAGAGAAACATCCGTAGCAGAAAGGTCCTGGGGAAGTTAAGCCTTTTCTGACTCACTTTCAGAGCCTTCTCCTGAGTAAGAAAGCCATGCAAGACCCAGGTGCTGTGATAAGGCAATAGCTTCCTGTGAGGCTAGGACATCTGCTGCAGGAGGCTTACAATTAAGATTGTGGCCCGACAGCTGGCCAGGCTGGGGCGCTGCAGGGCACAGGCGCTATTGAGGGGGAGAGAGAGCCCACACCGGTGTCAGGCCTCACCACTTCTCTGAGGCTGTCCACTCGGGCCTCAGCCTGGCCCCTCTTTACCTGCCTCGGGGAGCTGGCCAACCTGCCTTGGATTGCAGCTGGGAAAATCCTGGCCGGCCAGCACAGTCCGAAAGTGAGAGGATGAACTGGGAGAGCAGGGGACTCTCAGATCAGTGATGAGGACAGTAACCCAGTGCTTCCCCACCACGGGCACCAGAGGCAACCAAAACTGCAAATGCCATCAGGCGGCTGGTGCAGCCCCCCTCCAAGGGCTCCCTCCCTCCAATCCCTCGGCCCTCACTTCCTGGGTGGACTCAGGAGCAACCCTGACCTGCAGTCCCCTCAACAGGGCAACCAGCCTCATGAGACCCCACTTGATCATCAGCCTCTCTCCCCACACATCACACTTGCTCCCCATTCCTGAACAAACATTTGGGGTGGCGACAAGAGTAAAGTGACCCTTCACCTGCCCTGCATTCCCCAGCAGGAGTCGAGAGCTCTCTCACTCAGGGAGGGCGGGCTTGGAGGGCAGGGAGAGGAGAGGAGATTACACCCTCTTATGTGACTGAGTTGAGATGCCGCTCCACCATGATGCCAAAATCATACCTCTTTCAACTGGTCTTTTCTTTCAGGGGTGGCAGGATTCTCTTGAGGTCTCTCTCTGATGGTGGCTTCAGAAGACACTCTGGAGGGAGAAGAGAGAGAAGTAAGCTTTAAGAAGGTGTGGGTTAGCAGGGCATGGGGCTTCTGGGGGCCAGCTCAGTCCAGATACGCACCCACTCTCTGAGTGCATGCTCCCTCCTTGCACCTCTGCAGGTGCAGCAGCCAGACAGGGTCCCCATGGCCAGAAAGACAGAACTCAGCACCCAGCCCCACACAGGTTCCCAGGATGGCGTCCCCAGGGCCTATGGATTGGGGCATATTTTCCGTCTTCTAACATCAGCCCCAGAGCCTGTGCAACGTCCATGTGATGACTTTGAGAGATGCTAATTACAACATCGCATCATGTTTCTTTGCTTCTAGCTAGAATATTATCAACTTGGTGTGGGAACTCCATTTTCCTTAGGCGGAAAAACGGCGCTCTGAGTAATTTTGGAAATGTGAAAGGGAATTAATCATTGTCTAATGAAAGCAGGCTTTTGGGGCAGAACAAACCTTTCAAGGTCTGGAATCCATGAAGAGATAAGTCATAAGAGGAGGGGCTGTTGGTGGTGAAAAAACAGCTCAGTCCCAGAGTGCAGGGGCCAAAGTCCCGCCCCTCCCACTTCCTCTGTCCGTATGACTGAGTCCCAGGTCACAGGAGAAGGATCAAATTCACTGTGCCCAGGCCACACACCTGCCTGCCAGGGCTTAGGCCAGTCCCAGGGGACCAGGTTATTCATGTGCACAGCTGAGGAACAAAAGCAAAACTTATAGCAGACGGGGCAGAGCCAAGTTCCCCGACCTCCCCTCTCCCCCTCCCCGCTCCGGCTGCCCTCAATAGCCAGGCTGCAGTGGAAGCCTGATCGAGTTTCAGGCTACCTCAAATAATTATGACAATCATCCCGACACCCTCTCCAATTCTATGAGAAAGTATTAGCACTTCAGGGATGAGGACCAGGGATTCCGAGGCATTAAATAAACTTGCCCAGGGTCATAGCTCTGAATGGGGGCAGAACTAGCACTAGAACTCAGGTCCCTGGGAAGTCAAGCCTGGTGCAAGTGCCATCTCCACAGTGAGAGGTGCAAGCAGGAGAGCGTGAGTGCAAGGTCTGCTCTGCAGTGCACCGTCCTCACAGAGGGCATTCTCGGGGCTCCCTGCTAACTGATGGGGAACAGGGCTTGGCCGGAGGATATTGCCTCCACCTCTACCTCTACCTCATTCATCCAGACATTGTCAGCCTGGGGACCTCATGCACTGGGGCCAGACTAAGGCTACAATCAGAGGAATTCATGATATATATACACATGCATGGACATATATTTTCTAACTACAATTCTCTAACTACACACTGAAAGTTCTTCCTTCCCCGTGCATCCTAATTAACAGATAGAATCTCTGCAAAGACTCTGTACTGAGTGCCCGTCTAAACCTCATTCTATGTGAGCCCACATGCAGACAGTGTGACTTTATACAAATGGGATCCTGCCACAGATGTTCTACATACAAGGCCGCTTATCAGGGATATCATGTCTACCCATGACTGTGACACTACACAGACCTTCGGAGTCGTTTTCACAGCTGCGCAGTGCCCCAGAGTGCCTGTGCTCCACAATATAGTTTCCTCCTCCCCATGGATATGTGGGGTATTTCTGTTTCCAGCCATTGCAACCTTCAGTGACACCCACATCTCTGTGTGGAAATGTCCGTGCACTTCCAAAAGCCTAGAAGCGGGTTGGCTGGGCAGAGGCTCTGACTAGATGCACACAAACCTCCTTCCCAAAATGCTGGGTGGCTTCCCCTCCCATCGCAGGGCAGAGGAGCCCTTTTTCTTGAGTGCAAATCGGAAGCCAGGGTTCTGTGGGCAGAAGGGCTGCTCCTGTCACCTCCCAGTGGCCTGGGACTTGGAGTCCCCTGGACAAAGGGAGGAGGAGATTTCTTAGCTCACGCAGATGGCCACTGCTTCACCGCCCGGGGGGCATTTCTGAAGACTCGGGCCCACCTGAGCCGGGAACTACATTTACTGGCTCAGAACTGATAATGAGCTTTTATGATCTCTGGGGACCACGAGGAACACGTATTAATGTCAAGCATGCCTGTCAGCCACGCAGCCTGGGTGAATGTCACACATTAACGAAATTACAGGCCGCAGCCACACGGGGAAGGAGCTGGGGGCTACATGTCGGCGGCGCGTAGGCCTGTCAATAACCGCATTACTTCCCAGCTTTTGCGCTCCCGAGCCTGAAGCTGTCTCCCGTCTTCACAGGAATTCTGCTTTCTTGCAGCCTGAGAAGAGATTAGTTTATTACCATTCTGCCCGGAGAGGCAAATCCCAGCACTAATCCTAATTCCCATTTAAGCAGATCTTCATTGTGTGAGGGAAACCAGCTGGGCTCGGAATGTCTTCCCCCTTTTCCCTGAGATCTCATTTCAGCCCCCTCCTCTCCGTGGAGGAGGGAGGTCACTGCAGATGTTGGACCCGGAGCCCTCCTGGGAGGGAGAAAAGAATCCCAGGGTTTAAGGCCAAGAGGGGAGACCGGTGCTGGGTGACAAGAGGCAGCATCGCATGACGGTGAGCCGGGTGACGGTGTTCGCTGTCGGCCTGGCTGTCCTGGGCTGTGGGAAGGAAGGGCCACCACCCTCCAGGTCACAGACTTGGTCTTGCTTTGTACTAAGATCCCACAGATGTGAGGTGGCACAGGCTGAAATGCCCAGTCCAGCCCTAACCAGTTCTGTGACCTCGAGCAAGGACTCTCTGACTCCACACCTCCACTCCTTGTCTGGGAAAAAGGGCTCACAACAGCCGATAACTCGTAAGATGTTGTGAGGATTGCATGAGGAATGTGTACACAAGATTCAGCAGAGGGCCCGCCATACACTATCCTATTCCTTGAATACAAGATTCTGGATTATATTCTATGGGTTTCTAAGAAAGAAAACACGGTCAGCTAATTAATTATGGCATGTCAGTTTTTATATGATGCATCCTGGTTTCAGAGACATTAAAATATTTAAAAAACAAAGCGTGCCTTAGACTCCATGAAATATTGCAAGAACCTAATCAATGGCAGTAAATGTGAGGACTATTGGCCAAGTCCTCCCATTTTGCAAAGTTCCACTCAAAGCTCAGATCTTTTTCCTCCTCTTCTTCCAAACAAAGCAAACGTGCACTGTGTGAGGAAAAGCAGCTCTTGGGTTATAAGGCAAATTCTGAGAGCCACTCTGGTGTCCTGGATGACGCCCAGAGGAGAGACTTTAATGATGTTTCCTACTCTACTTTCACCCTGATGGTTCCTACTCTATTTTTAAATTAAAATAGAACACATACCCAGCAGTGCAAACTCTGTGAATTTTCAAAAACAGGGGGCCCTGCATAACTGACACCCACATTGAAGACTCTTCTCAATTTTCCCCAATATTTGCTCCTCTTCCACCCATGTCTCTCAAATCATCCCTGACTCTCCATCCCCACCACCCCTGCCCCTTCTGCCTGGATCAGCCTCACCACTGCCTGTCTGCTTGCTGCAAACAGGCTCCCTTCTCCTTTGCTATAGGACTGGGCCCATCAATGTGGACCACCGCATCTCCCTCCTGCTTCCGTGGGTCCCCTGGTCTCCGATTGCCTGCACACGGGGACTTTTATCATCTTACCCCTGGTTTCCCACCTTTCCAGGCCCACCTTCAGGGCCTCACAATACGCACAGACCCCACAGTCAAACCGAACTCCTCTGCAGAATGTGGACAATCACAGCCCCACCTGGTGGGCCTGAGCTGGGGATTAGATGAGCTAACAGATTGTAAGTGGTTCCCTAGGTACCTGGCACAAAATAAGCAGTCCATAAACAGAGGAAGCAGGAATTGTGTAAAATAGAATCTGCTTGCTACTTACTGTAAAAATGGTAGTAGCCATGACCAGTGGTTCCAAGCTATACTTCTCAGATCCTTCCCTCCGCCCCTCCATCCCTCAGGGGTCTACACCCCAGACATATGCTAACACTTAATTCACAGCAACTGGACTTTCTGATATTTTATTTATTAAGTTTCCAGATAACATTGAAAACCACTATTTTATAATCTTCTGATATCCTAGATTCCAAGTCAGTAGGATTTCAGAGGAGAACTGGGAAGGCTTCCTGGAAGAGGCAGCAAGGAAAGGATGAAGGGAGGTGATGAGCCCAGTGATGAGGCTTTTCCCAGCTAGCTTCTATACAGCCTCTTTCTCTCTCTCTCTCTCTCTCTCTCTCTCTCTCTCTCTCTCCTTCAGCCACTCTATATCTCTTCCTGGCTCCTAGGTGGAACTGCTATCCTTCTGAGCCCTGTGACCACAAGGACTCTTGTTCCTGTGACCCAACAAGGGGTAGTGTCCTCAGCGAGACCCTGGAGGTGGCTCAGCTCTGGGTCCTTTGTCCCCACACCAGCGCCAAGCCCCAGGATCCAGGCTGAGCCACGGCCAGCTGATGCAGGGCTTATTGACAGATAAAATCTCTGCAGTTTAAGGCTCCGAAGCGAAGCCGAAGCTGGGGCTCTATATTGCTTTGTTTTAAATTAGCAACGCAGGGGGTTGGTGTGGGATTGGGGGAGAGGGAGAGGAGCCAAGGCGAGTTCAGGAGGAGTTCCTGCTGGGTCCTGCATCTCAGCTATTCCCCGGGCAGCCCCTAATGAAGCCGCATCCGGCCTCTGCATCTTCTCTCCACCTGCACTTGTCTCCCTGGGAGAGTGTCTGCCCCGCCCACTCACTCAGCCCCGCTCACCCTGTTCCCATAATGAGTCCCTGAATCGGCCTGCTAATTGTGCCCCTGGGTCACTGTGGGGCTGAGGGGGAGCCATGACATTCTCAGAAACATTGGGATTTATTTTTGCTCCATAAAGGGAGAGCCACTTCCTACATTTAATTGGGCAGTGCACAGTGGGCGTTGGCACTGCTAGCAAGGGTCCCAGTGGGCAAGGAACTCCCAACCTGAGTCCATTAGCTCTTGGCCTGGGAGGGTGGAAGTACCAGTGTAAGTTAACAAGTGAAGCTGTTTATTCTTAATGCAACTGTCATT